CGCATCCGTGTTTTAGAAAGCATAGTACATGTGCATGTGATGTTTTTACCGGTATTTACCATGGTTTTTAATCTTGGGGAGGAACCTGTTTTCCCATGGTTTTTGGAATCTATTAAAATTTTCCTCCACAGTATTAATTGTTTTGTAAAAACATTTTTCCTATCCTCCAGATAATTTGTTTCTACTATTTTTGTGAACATTAAAAATAGTATTGTAACATTACAGAACAATATAATTTTAACAACTAATATTTTAAAATTTTCTTGATGTTTCTTATAAAAATATTTTTTTATTTGCCCTTTTTAACCTTTTTGATTTTTCTGTTATGGAGCAATATGACTCTTTTAGAATGCTCATTATAACAAGTACGACATATGAGATCCCGTTTAAAATGCTATTAAATTTACAGTGTTTATAACTAGTTAAAAATTTCTAGCCTTCCGCTATTGCGACAATTTTTTTCCATGTTTAAGTGAGCAATATTACTGGAAATAGTGATAATTGAGAATTTTTTCAAAATTTCTGGTAGCAGTATAGAAGAGTGAAAAACTAATTTCTTAGTTTTCTCCTTCCAACCTGAAATGTGCAAACATTCGTCGGCAGCCGTTAGCTAAGTCTTAATCCCTAAATACCTCTGATATTTTTGGTAATTTAGCTACATGCATCTAAAGAATGCACCTTTTGTTGATCACAATCTATCATGCAGCCTGTTTTCCATCTTATAGCTAACTATTCAGATCAACATTCAATGTTATCAGTGAAGTCAAAAGCCATTGCACTTAATTTTATTTTTTCTTGATATATATATTACCTGAAATTAATATTAACAAAAAACTAATATTAGCTATGATACGAAAACTATATATTGCTATCAGTTGTAAATAACAAGCCACTATATATGTAAAACGTGGATTAATATTTACGATTTTTTCCCATGGTTTTTACCATGCTTTTGTAAAACCTGGTTCTTCCCGAGTAAAAAGCCAACCCGGATTGCTACTATACACACGTTATTTCAATTGTTTTAATAAATAATGGTGCTTTTCCATTTTTCATACTTTATTTACAACAAAAGCAATTGTTTGAGTTAAAATTTAACCTTCAACTATGATTCCAATAAAAATTTTCCTGCTACTAGGGCCAGTAGAAAAGTGAAATAAGAGAATATTTTGTTACTCTTCATTAAAGTTGTACAATTTTACTACTACAATCACATTTCTCAGAACATACCCATTCTTGATTCTATTTAGATAATAGTATTGTATACAAAATACGTGTTAAAATATTCTTGTCCGAAAAATTCATGCAGAGTTAAGAGGATAAGTGAAACGCCTCTTATTAAATTAGTCATACATTTGCTAACCTGCCTAATTCCCCGGTAATTGGTTGAAGATTTTCCCGAAATATTTGAAGTGGTTGCGAATTATATGCTTTTAATATATGATTTCAGCTGTTATTTTTCACTCTCATAAAAATCTAATCAACATGTTTGTTTTTAAAAGGAAGTGAAATTTTAATATTTGAATGCTGAAAAGTTATTTCACAACCATTTTAAATATTGTTGACGGTTAGAACTGAGTTGGCAGTTCTGCATTTAAGTTTAGTCTCACAGCTTCCCTACGTAGTTCAAATCAACTTAAAAATTATTTCTTTTCAGAAAGAGTTTTTGGTAAATAATTTTCAATTTTAGATCTTGACCATTTATTTTGAAGTTTTTCCGTTAGTTGAATTGCGTAGGGATTTCAATTTGTTGAAATCGGATTGCTTGAGGTCTTGGTAATTATTGTTGATATAATAAAAAACTTCAGTAGAGCTCAAATAGCTTTTGTCGAATTGTCAGTTCTCCGATTCACAATTTTTGGTTGTTTTTTGATAATTTAATGCGTCTGATTGGAAGCAGTGTTTACGAAGTTCAGTTTATTAGATATTTTCGCATATCACTTCTTCCTGGGTTTTTCAAAAAAGCCCAGCCTTCCTTTTGCTTTTGATAAAACCTGAGCTTTTTGAAACTTTTTTTTTTCAGGAATATTTAAAAAAATTTATTAAGTCCATGTAATGTCAAAGTATTTTTTAAAATTTTGCAGGATGACATAATCTTAAAATATAAGGTATTGAATAAATAACTTGTTATAATGCAACTAGTTTTAGAGATTTTTTATATTGTTACACAATTTTTATTTCCTACCGATTGCTTAATTTGCAATTAAACTAACCACAGAGTACTAAGAGAAACTAAGTTTAGAAACTAAAAATTAAGATTAGTTTTTCATTGCATCAATAAAGTTATGGTTCAGAGTTTTATTGGAATAAGATGTAAAGTTATCATTTTACTTCTTTACCATTACAACTTAATCATTTTTTAAAATTTTTACCTAACTATTGGCCAATGTTATTAGTTATTTTGCTGAAAAGATTAGCTAAACCTACGTTTATCTGGGATATGACTTAATTTAGCATGATGACTTAGTTGAGTTCTAATTAGACTTTTGTGCATCAGTTCCTTAAATATTTATAAATTAACTAATTTGTATAGGAAAAACAAACATTCGACTTATTGAATGGTTAGGAAGATAAGATAACAAATATTTGGTGCACAGTAGAATATAAAAATCTCTTTTTTGTCCTACTTTACGAAGTTTTTTCTCTGATATTTTCTTTTTTTCTAGTACAAAAATGTGAATATTAATTTCAGAATTTAGCTATAAAAGCAGAAAATATTTAGAACTTCATTTAATTTCAATGTAATTTTAAATGAAATGATTTTTTTTAAATGCTAATTTAAAATATATTAAAGCGTTTATTCAAAATCTATAATATGTAAAGATTGCACTAAGATAAATTAAATTACTGTTTCAAGCCCCATAAAAATTGCATTATAGCTTCATCTAAAATTGTAAATGTAATCATTTTTATATATGGAGCATTTTGATTTTAATTCTGATATAAATCGACCTAAATATAAATCTGTAAAATTGAGCTCGTATCAAAATTTTAGTTCTTGTAATGAAAATTAAATTAACATAGTAATTGCAAATAAATTAAAATGCATTCGGAAAGTTCCATGAGCCAAATTTAAGGTGTCAAATTAATCTTACGTTATCCGGAAAACTGTTACTTATCCGGAAAAAGAAATTTGTTTATACTTTTTGTCAGAGAAATAAATCTTGTCTACCATATTTTTCTTGAATCAATCATTTCTATTTCAAATATTTATCTTATCAAATTTTTGTTGTGAAGTATTAAAGGGTCATACTCTCATTTAATTTTAGAGAAGTTAATAAATTTTGTTGGGGGTACAGTTTAAAAATATTGATTAGTTTCTTTTATCTGATTTTAAAATAATAAATTCCAACCAAAAAAGTATGTCAGAAGTTTTGAATTGAGAACACTACAAAAATGTTGAGCAGTGACTTTATTGTATTAGAGATCATTGAAGCCCAAACTTAAAATTATTTGATTCAGGAAATTTTGAACTAGATTTTCATTTTAACTAAATATTGGTGTCTGGGAATATTAACTAATTGATATTGGATTTTTATTCTTCAACGAAACAATAGATATATTTCAAAACTGTGAGATCCCAAACTAATGTTCAATGCATATTACATTGTTGGAAACTTAACTAAACTATGTAAATCTGAAGTATATTTTATTGTTCTTTTGTGGAAAAATTAGTCTTTTTTTTTTTTAATACGTAAGAGCAACTTACATTTTTAAGTTTGAATTTTCCCTTTTTAAAAGTAGTCTATATGTAACCGCTTGCAAGAAATGTCTCTATTTTCGTCCTGATCTTTTTATATTTTTTAAATGCTATCCTTTTTTTCCCACTTTGTTAAGGCACGTTAAAAAGAAATTTCAGGATATTTTTGAAAACTTATATTTATGCGGAGCAGGTTTTTTTGTTTAACTTTCTATTTTGGATTTTTTAACTGAACAATTCATTGTGTTAAAAGTTTTGAAAGGCATTGTTTTTCTTCAAATAAAGTTCCCATTTATATTAAACTATTATAAATAATGGATATTAAATTTATTCCGATTATGAAAACTAGCCACGACTAGTTGTAAAATTATTAACCTGAAACTCAGTATTAGTTTAATACAGTTTGAAATTTTTACTAAAAGCCTAAGAGTATGTCGTAGGAATTAAGTTTTTAGCCATAAAAAGTCAACCTGTTGGGGGATGGTGTAGGAAAAAGAGTAAATTTTTATAGAAATATTGCGCAAATTGTGAAGTCTCATCCTTCTGACTTTCTGTAAGCTGTTTTCAGTCTATTGTGATACCTGAAGAAGTTGCGATCACTGATAGAAAGACCAAAAATGTTATATTCTGGAGCATATTATGGAACTTCACTGAACATTCTTCAGTGTTAAACTTCAAAACATGAGTCAGTGTTAGTGAAAAGAACATAAATTTGAATTTTGCACAGTCTGTCAACACAATATCCAACTTTTTTTAAGAGATTTGGCTTTAAGTACATTGAATTTCTTAATCTCTTATCTCAAATTGGTTTTTTCATTGGAGGACCAACACAAAGCGTCAAAAGCACGCAGATTATAACACATCTGTTTATCTGTGGTGATCATCATTTTTTAATATTTATAAATTACAAATTCAAATTTCTAGGGAAAATATAGCAGTCTGATTTGAAACACATTTTTAAATAACAAATCATACAAGCTAGCGTTAAATATTCGATTCCCAATGGGGTAAAAGTTTCTAGTCAAAAGTTTCTTTTTGAAGAAAATTGCTTAAATTGGTTCGAATAATGCATTTAGTTTTACCCATTATTACACACTATTTCGTATGTCTGAATAATATTTCACAGCTATCTATGGTTGGTTAAATGAGTAATTTTTCTTTAAATCTAGTCCTTTTTTTTTATAAGTATGAAAATATGAATGATTTGAAAACGTAAGTGAATAAGGTGTGATCAATGGTTGACTTGATGTTTTTCATTTTCTTAAATTATTGATTTTGTTAAAACTTCCTTTTTCTACAGATGTCTGCTCAGACAAATGCAAAGCAACGCATTGGAAAAACATCCATAGGTAAGATTTAAAAACAAAATTGCGCTAACAAAGTCCTAACATACTAAAAATTTTAACTTTTTTTTTCAATCTGTACTAAACTAAATTGTTCGAAAAAATCTTAACTTCCTAAAACATACTCCCTTCCCACTAACTTATAAAAGTGTGAATTTTTTGAAATTTATAATTAGTTTTTAATTAATACCCTAGTTAATGAAATCTCACCCCTAACTCTAACATTTTATTGCTACATTGTAAATTTTCGAATGAAATATTTTATGCATAATTATGTATAATAGTTAAATATAAATGTTAAGTCTTACTTAAAATTTTAACAACTCATTGTAAAAGATGAAGTGGGAGTATTTTTAATGTGGGTTAAAAATTGTTTTAAAATTAATATTTTATTATATGAGGGCTTTTTTAGGATACTTGAGTATTACGACTCTATTTCAAGATTTTAGTGTTTTATTGAAGTGAGATAAAACAGTTTACGTTACGAAGCTCAAAGATTCACGTTCAAAGATTTGATGGATACAGTGTAAGAATCTGAATAAGTATACTTCAGTGGAAATTTTTAGTTGTGTACTATTTTTGTTGAGTACCACAATATTTTGTTACTTATGCATCAAATGAGGTTGATCCTAAGAAGAAAAAGTAGTACTCATCGAGGCTTTGTTTTTTTGGGGGCTTAAACAATTTTTTCTTTTGGGCTTAACTCCCAAGTAGCGATTTGCATAATCGTGGAAAGATAAAAGTTTATCGGCATAGCGTGTGTTAATCTAATTTTTTTCCGTAATTGCAATTGAATAATGAATGAATGAGAATTTAAAAAAAACTAGCAAGCCCTCGTGTATGCTAAATATTGTTAGTAAATAAAGTTAAAAACATTCTAAAACCTGAGAAATTAAAAGCTACCTTAAATGAAATAACTTCATTTCAAATGATATTTTAAATACTGAAACCGAGAATAAGAGAAGTTAAACCGGAGTTGCACCCCAGTCTTAGTAATTTCCGTAAATCTACCATAACTCATTAATTCAAGCTCTCAGAGATAAAAGAACGAATTTTTTTGCATTTTTTTTAGTTTATTTTGTCTGCAAAGCCAATATAAATCTGCAGCGCCCGTTACCTCACCGTTCTAATTCTGCTATGCCTTTAACTCATTTGTAATTAACAGAGGATTTAATAAAATAGATTCCCTCAAATTGTAAGGATAATTCTATTCCAGTCTTCCTTGTGAACTGAAATAAAACTTACCGATTCAAAAAGGCAAATCAAGAGCTTGGAGAGCCAAGATTAAATGAATCATTCTTATCGAGTTCCTCGCTTCGGTAGAGCTGTTGGACTACCGCAGAAATCGAAGCTTCCTTCTGAATATCCCTCTTTTCCAAAGCACGTCTTTAAATCTCCGCCAGTCTGTGCTGGGGCGTAATCTGGAGCCGCCCATGCATACAATTCTGGTCCCTCCTGTATCGAGATAGTGGTTGTGGGAAGCGCCGGGACCAATATCAGTTTTCCGTAGAGTTTCGTTCTCAAAGAAAGAGCATTCAAACATTCCATCTTGAATATCCCGTAGGTAAACAAGCCTAGGAACATAGAAAGCCATATCGTAAATATTTTCTAGTTATTGTGAGGGAAGACTTGATTCCCCATGAGGTAACTATTCAATAATTCAGTTCAAAAAGTGGAGGCTTATTTACTCAGTTCTTGGAATTGGAATCCGTTATTTTCTGGAGTGGTGGAACTTTCACTTTATTGGTTTAGAATAAAGTCATAGTTTTTAATGCCCTCAGATTTGACTATTTAATAAATTAGAATTTTTCTTTTCGTGTTTTAAATAAAGGTGTGTATTGTCCTTGTTAATTTTCGTCACAATATCATGGTTTTAATTTATTTCCATAGTTGAATCTGCGGAAACTTGATCTGCTTTTTTTTTTAAAAAAAAAAGACTGATTTTGATTGTTTTATTTGGTTTCGAACTTTTAATTGAGAATTTAATCCTTCAAAAAAAAAAAAAACGTAATCCAGCCTTATCAGAACAAACATTGTAATCAATAATGTCAAGAATGATAATGGTGCTAATTCAAGGTGTTTAATTTATATTTAACTTTTTCTTTTTTAAAATTTACTATTTAACCCTTTTGAGACTTAAAATTTCAAGCTATTCTGATATATTTTTTTTAACTACATCAAAGGGTAAGTTAATGCTTTAAGTCTAGATGCAATCGCAACATTTGCAAATGTAAAATTTTGTTTTTATCTATGATTATAACGTAAATTAAACGTAAAATATGCTTACTTATTTTATGTAAATAAAAGGAAATATGCAAATGCAAACCTCTTCATAATTTTTCAGAATAACTAGTTACAAATAACATATTTAACTTAAGTCAGAGTTAAAAAGAAAAATTCTTTTAAAAATGTCTTAGTAAGGTGTCAAATGTTTGAATCAAAATTTTAATTGACATTATATTTTTAAAAAAAACGTAGAAACCATTAAATTGAGTTAGAGGAGTAAGAATGGTATCTTTTTAAGCAAAGCAAAAGAAAAAATATGTGATTTTTATTTTTTATTTATTTATTTTTTTGGTGCTTGAAAGTGAGTTTAAGATTCTTTAATAAAGAGCCTTATTTCACATTTTAACGAAGAAAATGTGAATCTTAATAAATAATATGCTAAGATAGTTACTGTATTATAATTGTCAAATATATATACACCAAACATCAGCATTAAATATAAATATACAGGTGTCATATGCCTTTTATTCCGCGTATTTACTGTCTGAATGCATCTGTATAAGAACTTGAGAGTCTGAAATTAGATGACGCACTTAATTGCAACACATTTGAAAAAACTCATTTCAAAATAGCATAATTGTGAGTTTTGTAACACTAAAAGCAGACAGAAATACGCATAAATTATTTTATTTTCAAAAAAGTATTTTATTTTCTAATATTTAGTTTTCAATGTAATGCGTGTGAGATCAAATTATTTTTGTACTTTAATTTTATTTAATTACTTTATATAGACTTCCTTAAACTTGAGATTTACTATTTAAGAAATACAAGATTTTAATATTTTCCTGGCAGTTTTAAGCTTTTTTTTTTCTTTTGAAAATTTTAGAATTGTCACTCTAATTTTGTTTCAAAATGTTATGTTGCTTATCGATGAAACATGCAATTAATTACAGTTGATTTGGAAGTTTGATTTTGTTAGTTGATGTTCCCAAATTTTAATAAATTTAAAAATCTAAATTTAGGAAGAAAGTATATATTTTTAATCAGTTTTTCTCAGATTCAATACAAATTAAGGAATGTTGGAAAACATAATTATGAATAAAAAGATACTGTTTTTTTTTTCTTTTAAAAATTTTTTTCAAACATCTTGTTAATTTTTTTTTCTTAATAGTTGTCTCCTTCAAATTTTCTCATTTTAAATGAAATTTTTAAATCGAAGCTTTAAAAATGTTAAAATGATAATCTTTGCACGCGTAATTTGAATGAATCGTAACTATTACATTTAAGATTTTTTACTAAGTTCTTATTTCAATCTTGTATCTGATCCTTTTGTATTTCTGATTCCTTTCTATGTGGCATTCTCTTAGAAATAACAGGCTGTTCCTTTAACGGAGGGGGGGGGGAGGATTCACACATCGAATCGCTTTACGTGTTGACATTGAATGACACTAGCGAAATTTGCCTTACCCTAACTTTTCCCGCGTAACGCTCCGTCCCATATTGGCTGACTGGGCGACCCGTTACTATAGCAACCGGTTCAGCATCCTAACCCGAATTGGATGACATCGATCTGGCTGAATCACGAAAATGGATGGGGGTAGAGGGGGGGCTACACACGATCTTTTTCCTCCCCCATCGAAAAACCTAACTCTATATTTAGAAGTGAAATTACCAGCAATCGCTTTGAAGGGTTGGAGAAGTCCTGCCTTTGGCTGACTATGTTTGGATAGCCTGTACTTTTTTTCCAATTTTCTTTTTTCTTTTGGAAGCCAAAGTTTCAGGGTGCCTTGAAGGTTCAATTTCGATACGGAAAGCTTTGCTTAGTTCAATTTAAATATAAACTGTGTTCGCAAAATTTAATATAAGTAATTCCGGAACCTGGTGAAGTAAGCTCGATGGAGTGAATTAAGGTGGTTGTCAACAAAAAAAAGTTAGTAGTTTGATAGTTTAGCTTTTTTTTTATTTAAATTTATATTTTTAACTGTTTGCTAAATGTAGAAACATGTAGTGGATTCTTATGAGATCGAATTAAAGCCTACCCAAACTGAAGCGAAGTTTAAGATTACTTCTATGATTGTTTGACTCTAGATAAAACGTAAGTCGGAAGTTAATTTAGACTCTCATTTATTGCCTTTGTGACAATAAAATTCCTTTATAATTGCAGAAGCATTAATTTTACTTTATTAACATCTAACAAATTAGGTTTTTCGGAAATACTCTTAAATTTCAATCTTAAACTTACTGCTACTTTGTCATACTTACGTTAAATTCCATTTTTTTCTTCAGACATATGAATAGGTCATTACTGTCGTCATGCTTCAAGCACTCAAAAACATGCACACATTTTCAAAACTTAACCGACGTAAATTAGAAGAAAAAGTAATTTGAAAAATAAAAACAAGTTGCCAACGAAAAAAGGAAAAATAAAGGTAAACATAAGCTAGAAAAACCACAGTAGTGGATTTTTAGTAGTTTTTCCTTCTTGCCTTTATTTTCCATTTTTCGTTGGCAACTTCGTTTTATGTTTTAAATAAATTTCTTCGTATTAAAGTCGGTTAAGTATTTAAAATGGGTGACTGTTTTTAAGCTCTTGAAACTTGTCGAATGTTATGTCCTATTCATATATTTTTGAAGGAAAGCAAGTTTTTAAATCTGGAAATAACTTACCTCTTCAGTTTCTGGGATTAAATTATTTGACTGTCCAATATTTTTTTATTATATTTTTTGGCTCGTACGTCTTATCAAATTTATTCAGTTTTACTTTGCGCACCCTGGCAGCA